TTCCCCTCTCTGTTAGCCTGACAGGCGGGCTAGGTAGTGAATAGGCAGGTAGGAGAATGTGAGAGGTGTTGGGAGAACTACTTTCCTTCACAATAGCTATCCAGTGCCCTCCCTACTGCCACTCCTCCTACAATGCCCCTCTATCGTTAGGTTCTTGAGGTTCCTATGGCCTCCTAACATGAAAAGATACCCAAGGAAAAACCATTAAATTGAATTAGCAACATGTAATCATTTGACAAATATTTATTAAGCAGACTGTATGATAGAATAATAACTATATTTTCAGAGTTTCACAACAGTCTGAAGTACTGAAAGGTGAGATTGGTCCTCATTTTACAGATGATGAAATTGTGGCTCAGAACATCTAAGTGACTCATCCAAGTAACACACCTGAGCTCCACTTTCATAACTAGGACTCAAACTTGGGTCTGTTGTGTTTTTTTTTTTTTTCCTGTCACAGTAACTCGAGGGGTTTACAGGCAGGAACTCAAAACAAACACATGCTAAATAACACATTAAATAACAAAGCTAAAAAACAATTCAAGATAATAGTAACCATGTAATAATAGAGATATATGTGCCAATGACTGCTATGGCCAATCCTTACTGTAAGAGTGACCAGGAAGCTCATGATAAGTGGTGAGAGGGCGAGCATCAGCGAGAAGGCCTGAAGGAGGAAGTGGGACTTAAGCCTGTTCTTGGAAACTGGGTAGGAAAAGGACAGTTGGAGAATAAAGAAAAGACTTCTAGATGGGGTAAGGGGGTACAATAAAGATGCAGTGATGATAAAGTGCAAGTGTAGTTTTGAGAGAGAATGAGGACAGCAGTCCAGCTGGAGAAGAGAGGTTTGCATTGGGAGGAATAGAAAATAAGACAGAAAAGGCCTTCTTGAATGTATGACTAAAGGATTTCAATTTGGGGCCTCCCCGGTGGCACAGCGGTTGAGCGCTGGGTTGCGAATCTGCCCGGGGCCTCTGCGGCACCAGTTCAATCCCCGGTTGCTCCCCGGCCACCGGAGGAGGGTCCCACATGGCGCACAGACCTCTCCTGCCGCCCGCTGCTCCCCTCAGCAGTGTACTTCGGTCCTTCTGCCTATTCTGCTCCCCGCTCTGGCTCTGGTGAATTCACCCTCTCGCACTTCTGACTGTACCCAGTGCTTGTATAAACCAACCAACCAAATAAATAAATAAATAAAACATGCCCTATAAAAAAAAAATGTAGTTTGACTTTTAAAAAAAATAAATAAAGGATTTCAATTTGTCTTGTAGACAAAGGGAAGCACAAAAGAGTTTTGAGTAAGAGAGTGAAACAGCAAAAGCGGCATTGGGCCAATTAATCTGACAATATGCATCATATAGGTTGCGTTCCTTTAAGGAGAGACTGGAGGTCAGGATGTTGATTTAAGAAGCTATGACAGTCAGGGATAAAGAGACAAAGCCAGTGTTAGAATTGTAACACTAAGATCATAAAGGAAGGCCCATTTTTATTGACACAACGAAAAAAGAAGTGTTGAACCTGGTAAAATTGGGAGGTGGCCTGAGTATTTCAAGCCTAAGTCATTTGAAGAAAGAAGAGGACATGGCCTTCCTGGTGGCGCAAGGGGTTAAGCACTGCATTATGAAGCAATCCATAGCCTCTGCAGCACAAGTTTGATCCCTGGCCTGCCAGGGAGCGGCCCATGTGGTGCAGTGGACCTCTCCCATCTCTCCCGCTGCTCCCCTCAGTAGTGTATCTTGGTCAGTCTGCCTGTTCTGTTCCCCACTCTGTCTCAGGTGAGTCCTCTCACCCTCTGCATCTCTGGCCTGTGCCCCAGCACTTGTATGCATGAATAAATAAATGTTTGTAAAAAGAAAAAGAAAAAAGAAGAAGATGCCATAAGCAGAAATGAGCAAACAGGCAGGGAAACTGGTTCAGGGAGTTCAGTTTTTGACCACTTAAGCTGGAAGTAACAATGGAAGATGCAAGTGAAACTCTCCAGTGAGCAATTAAAGGCTGATAAAAAGGTCAGGCTTCAAACAGCATAGCATAACAGGAGCTCTGAGAGTCAGCAGACCTGAGACATAGTCTCTGCTCTGCCACTGACTTACTACATCATGGGCAAGTCATCTCTTTAGGACTGTTTCCTTCTGTGTAAAGTGAGGGGTGCCCAAGCACTATATGACCCCTAACAGGGACTGAATCCACTGAATTGTATGCACATGCATATATATTCTTTCCAAAGAAAATCAAGGGTCAGATGGGGGAGGGAGATTAAATAATCCCCAAAAACTATAACTGTGACAATCTCAGGAACTCTATACACTTATGGAGTAAAAAAGAAAGAGAAGCCAGCAAAGGAGACAGAGAGGAAGAAATAAGAGATAAAAGTAAGGGGAAAGAAATTCTAAAGCAAGGGAATAAAATAAGGAACTAAAATGAAAAGTATTATAATAAATGGAAGAAATATTTATTTAAAATATGACAAAGGGTTAAAATGTATGTCAAATAAGGAATACATTTAGATATATAGAAATAGCAGTAAGATGCCAGCTGGAGAAGGATATGGACAGCTGACACAAGAGGAAATGCAAATAATAAACACATGAGAAAGTGTTCAGTCCCATGAATAATCAAAGAAAGGAAATCAGCAAATTAATGTTAATGCCATGCAAAAAGATTTGTTTAAAGTTCAAAGCTTCAAGGGAACTGGAACACTCATGCATCTTTGTGGTGCTGGAAATTTGTGCAGTCCTTTGGGAAATCAAGGTCCATAAAAATGTTCACACACTTTGATCTGGTAATCTCACTCTGGGAACTTGTCCTAGGAACAGAATTAAAAAAAGAAAAAGACATATGCATTAAAATGTCCAAAGCACAGAAATGTTTGGAGTCACCTAGATGTCCAATAATAGGGGAAGAGTCAAACAAAAATATAATCTATTGATGAATGTAATTCTATGCCACTGTATGAAAGACTATAGCAACAGGGAGAATAGTTACAATAGAAAGTTTCTTAATGTTAGGATTTTAAAAGATACATACACTTGATTAGACTTATATATGAGTATGCAAACTGAAAAAGCATGAGACATAGAAAATGAAATAATTCTCTAGGGTTTGGAAGTATAGATGAATTTTTTCTTTCAAATTTTCCTTTAATGTCACAGTTTAATTTTTGAATGCTGTTCTTATAAAAAATAGTTAAAGAGGATATGCAACAGTGTCATGGAAAATAGAGAAGCCAATGAAGGTAGAGAAAAGATCATTAAAGGTGATGCTTATGAGATAGTTTGTGTTCTTATAGATACAGAAACGTGTTGGAAAGAAACAAGATTCAGAGAGTCAAGGGGTGACTCTGTGGTGAAGAACTGGGGTTTATGATACTCTTCCTGGAAATTTGGCAGTGAAATGAGTAAGAAGAATAGAATAGTAGCTAAGAGACAGCAAGATCAAAGTATCAGTGATAATGCTTTCTTTTTGCTTGGTTGGTTTTATTGTGTTTTTAAAGACAGGATAAATTCAGTTATGGAAAAGATTGAAAATGATGAAGAGGGAAGCAAAGGAACATGAACAAAGGCTACTTATTCTAGGGCTGCAGAGGAAAAAAGAATAAGATAAAATGGATATAGAAGTAGAATTATCTTGAGTTAAGCAGAGAGAATTTGAGGTATTTCCTCTTCTCAGCTTTCTAGGATACAAGGTAACTCTTAAGAAGTCATAGAGTAGAATGGACTTGGAACCTAGAGAAGTGGGAAAAGAAACAGTTGCTTTGGAATGTTCAGAAGGAGTTCAGCAGGCAAAAGTAAAGGAGGCTGGAGACTCAGGAAACCAGTGGACTGAAAGGCAGTTTCAGGGGGAGAGGCCTAGAAGTGTTAGCCACATTTCTCATGAAATTCTTACATACCAGAAACTCTTACTTCCCAAGGGTTGGGAGTTAACTCTCCAAATTCCATATCCCCTCCACTCCTGTAAACCCACTGGCACTACAATAGTGCTGGGAGGTGACAGGGTAGGAGATGTGGGCGCTGTCCTAATCCCAGTGCCCTGTGCTGGCCTCAAAATCCTAAAGCTTGACCTCCAAGACCTGGCAACATAGTTATCATTTATCTAAGGCAGGAGCTAGAGAAAAAGGAGAGGCTAGTGAAGAGCCTGCTCTGAGTATCAATCCTTGTTACCACCCTAACCTCTGAACAAACCTGCTCTACCCCTCCATGCTGGAACATAGTCTTAGGCACAAGCACTCCTCCCTCTCAGTCTGAGCCATCCACTTTTTCTTTAAGTGTAGAACTGTCAAATATGCTCTCAGCAATCATCATGATGACAGTCCCATTCCTGTTCCAAAGGCTATCATCTATCATTGGCATGGGCCCCGCCCCTGGAATCTCTTCAGTGTTATCCCACAATAAAACTCAGGGCTCCCTCTCTTCCTCATGGCTACACATCAGTTCAACAGTGTCATGCCTCTAGCTGTATGTGGGAGCCTGGCATCCAGGACCTCTGGAATTATGCTCTATTTCAGCACCTCGGTAGGCAAAACTATCGTGTCCTTGCGAAGAAATCAGGAAATGGGTGTGGTCCTTGGCATCTGTGATATGCTAGTGTCCCCACTTCCTGGCTCTGTCACCATCAAATAAATTAGGCAATCCTGAGATTACTCCAGTTTCCCCACCCCTCCAGTCCAATGCTCTGGTCTGGCTGGAGAAAACATGTTATCCAAGGGTGTAGGAGGGTAAGGAAGGGGTAAGAGGTCTGGGGAAGATTTCCAAGAAGCCATATATGAGCAAGAAGCAGGACCAATGGCCCCAGAAAGGACAGAAAGGAGGAGAAAGAAGTAGAGGAGGAGGAGCGGGGGCTACTGCCTTTGGCTCAGAAGGAGACACAAGTTTATGAGAAATGAGGCTCACATGATTTCTCTGGCTCCCCCATCCCTCAAGATGAGGGTCTGTCTCCAGAGACTGGAAAAGAGGAGGAAACTGCCGAATCAGGTGTCGCTATTAGGTTCTCTCACCTCTGCCCTGCACTCAACCTCCCCCTCCCCCGTTTCTCACTTCCAGACTTCCAGCATTATAACTTACTACCCTAGGGATAAGGCTGCTGCCCTGGTGGGTGGCTCTCTGCCTGCCACTTCTATCATCAGACAGGGACACCAGTGCCAGAGAGGAGGCAGCGGTGGTAGGTTGGGGCCTTGCACTCCCGCAGAGATGCTGGAGCTGACATCGATATGTATCCGCCGTGAGCAAGTAGAGCACAGGATCCAGACAGCTGTTGGCACTGGCCAGGGGCCAGGTCACCTTGTAGACCACATTGATGATGATCAGCACCCAGCAGTCAGCTTCAAACAAACCTTACCATGTAACAAATGGTGCGGCTGAGCAGGCAGCCAAAGACAGCCAACACCACAGTGATGGTCTGAAGAGAACGTAGATGAGAAGGTGACTGGGCAGCTCCTGGCAAGGGCTGATACAGGCGCCGGGCCATGAGTCCATAGCAGACCAGAATAACCAGGCAGGATATCACAAAGAACAGTCTCACAGCTGCTGAACAGAAGTGCACGTAGTGGTAAAAGTCTTCCAGCCAATTGGTGTTGTTGCACAGAATGGTGGTCTCCGTGGTGCAGGTTGTAACAAACAACAGGTTGGGAATGAAGCAGCTGGCTACCATCAACCAAACTGCTAGGCAGAGAAGGTTTACCAGGTGTGGCAGCTCCAGTGTAGTGCCTGAACTGGGTGACAGATGCCTAGTAGCGATGAACACTGATGCAGGTGAGGAAAAGGACACTGCAGTACAGATTCCAATAGAAGAGAAAGTGGATGAACTTGCAGAGCCTGGTGCCAAAGGGCCAGTGTTTGTGGGCCGCATAATAATAGATGAGGGTGGGTAGCGACAGTGCGTGCAAAGTGTCTGATAATGCCATGCAGGCAGCTGTTGCATCCCAGGGTTGGAGGCGAAAGAGAGAGAGCCAGAGGGCTGGGGCATTGAGGCCTAGGCCCAGCACAAACACGAGCACATAGTTCACAGCCAGCAGAATGAACTTGAACTCCTCGTCAAACCAGCAGTCCAGTTCAACCTCACTGTCACCGGGATATAAGCCGGGTCCAGGGTTGTGGACAGAGGATTTTTGCACTATGGTCCCCCTAGAAGTGGAAAATACAGAAGTAAGTGTGACTGAATTTTCCTGGTCTCTCTGACTGGATGCAAAAAAGCAGAGAACGGGAAGGCAATGACATGGTTGAAGCATTACAGAGAGCTAAGAAGAGTACATCTGAATACAACCCAGGTCAGCCTGGCCTCTGACTAGCTCCTTTGGTCTAGTCTGGTGAGTGGTAGGCAACAGGCAGTGCTGGGGTTTAGGAAGACTGTCAGTGGATTTGGGTTTGGTTTTTTTTTTTTTTTTTGCAACTGACTCTCTTTCAAAGCCTGCCTAGCTGAAGGAGATGGAGGCCTAACAGGACTATTCAATGTAGGAAGTTCCCAGGCCCAAACTGTCTCCTAGCTTGTCATGACAGTTTTGTCCCTGTGAACAAAGGATCTCTCTGTATGGTACTTTCACCTCTCCTCTCACATAGTCCTGGTGTCTCCATGCTACAGACTCTGATGCCTGCCCCCAGGCTGGTACAACCCAGGAACCCCATCACACCTTTACCCAAGAAACTTGGCCCATCTCCTACCTGGTTCCCTTGAAGCTGAGCATGGCTGACTCTGTCACTCTTCTCTTGGCAGCAAGAGGGCATATCCAGAAAGGCAGGGTGGGGGCAGGGACTGTCCCTCCTCCCTACCTGTCCAGTCCCAGGAGATTGTCAGAACTAGATAACCAGTCCCACCCATTCACTACATAAATTGGTAAACTGGGACCCACAGAGATTACCATTTAACAGCTTCTAAATGATAGTAGGAGAGAGTACACAAAGAAAGGTTCAAGTTTATAGATGGGTAGCCAGGCCACTACAGATAACTAAAACTACAAGCAGATCATGCAAAACTGTATAAATGAACAAAAACATGGGAAATTAATTTAATACAGATGGCTAATGCAAAATAAAACATTAAAAGAATTTCAAAAACCTAAACTACTTACATGAATCTTAAGCTCATATATGATAATTACAACAAATTCTTTTTTTTATAATAAATTTTATTTTATATTCCCCATACAATTGCAGCCCCCCCATTCTGACCCCAATCCTCCCCTCCTGCCCCGCCCCCTAAAAGTGTCTCTGGTTCATAGTTTTTTGTTGATTTTGATTTTCACTTTCTTATAGTTATTCATTTTCCTGGCCCTTACTTAAGTTTTCTAGATTCCTGCTATGAGTGAGACCATCCGGGATTTTTCTTTTTCTTTTTGGCTTATTTCGCTGAGCATGATCCCTTCCAGCGCCATCCATGTTGCTGCAAATTGCATGTGTTTATCTTTTGTGAATGCTGAGTAATATTCCATGGTATATATGTACCACATCTTCTTGATCCAGTCATCTATTTTTGGGCATTTGGGCTGTTTCCAAAGCTTAGCTATTGTAAATAGTGCTGCTATAAACATAGGGGTGCAGGTGTTCTTTGGAATGATGTTCTGTGTCCTTTGGGTAAATACCTAGGAGTGGAATTGCTGGATCATATGGAAGCTCTATGTTTAGTAGGTCCAGAAATCTCCACACAGCTCTCCATAGTGGTTGGACCAGTTTGCATCCCACCAACAGTGCAGGAGAGTTCCTTTTCTCCACAACCTCGCCAACATTTGTTGTTGCTAGTTTTCTAATATGTGCCATTCTCACTGGTGTAAGATGGTATCTCATGGTAGTTTTGATTTGCATTTCCCTGATTACAAGTGATGTTGAACATTTTTTCATATGTCTGTTGGCCATTTGCATTTCCTCTTCAGAGAAGTTTCTTTTTAGCTCTTCTGCCCATTTTTTGACTGGTTATTTTCTTTGTTGTTGTTGAGTTTCATCAGCTCTTTGCAGATTTTTGTGATCAGTCCTTTATCATTAGTGTTGGGTGCAAAAATGTTCTCCCAGTTGGTGGGGTTTCTCTTTGTTTTTGTTATTGTCTCTTTTGCTGTGCAGAAGCTCTTTAATTTGATGTAGTCCCAGCTGTTTATCTTTGCCTTCACTATCACTGCTTTGGGTGATGTGTCTGTAAAGATGTCTTTGATGTGAATATCACGTAGTGTTTTGCCTATATTTCCTCCTATATATTTTATGGTTTCAGGTCTTATGTCTAGTTCTTTAATCCATTTTGAGTTGATTTTTGTGTATGGTGTGAGGTAGTGGTCAAACTTCATTCTTTTGCATGTAGCGACCCAGTTTTCCCAGCACCATTTATTGAACTAACTTTCTTTGCTCCAATGCATAGTCTTTGCTCCTTTGTCAAAGATTAGTTGACCATAAAATGTGGGTTTATTTCTGCATTTTCTATTCGATTCCATTGGTCTGTGTGTCTGTTCTTGTTCCAATACCATGCAGTTTTGATGATTATGGCTTTGTAGTAGAGTTTGAAGTCTGGGAGTGTGATGCCTCCATTCCCTTCTTTTTTTCAGGAGAGCTTTGGCTATTCGGGGTTTTTGTGATTCCATATGAATTTCATCAATAATTGTTCTATTTCTTTGAAAGAATGACATTGAAATTTTGATTGGAATAGCATTGAATCTGTATATTGCTTTTGGAAGGATGGCCACTTTAATAATGTTTATTCTTCCAATCCATGAGCAGGGGATGTCTTTCCATTTCTTTGTGTCTTCTTCTATTTCTTTTAACAGTGTTTTATATAGTTTCTTTGTATAGGTCCTTTACCTCTTTTGTTAGATTTATTCCCAAATATTGATTTTTTGTTTCAATAAAAAAAGGGATGGTTTTTTTGATTTCTTCTCTTCAGATTTATTGTTTGTGTATAGGAAGGCTACTGATTTTTGCGTGTTGATTTTGTATCCTGCCACTTTACTGAACTGATTGATGAGTTGAATTAGTTTTTCTGTGGAGTTTTTGGGGTTCTCTATGTATATTATCATATCATCTGCAAGTAGTGATAGTTTGACTTCTTATTTTCCTATTTGGATTCCTTGGATGTCTTTCTCTTGTCTTATTGCTCTGGCTAGGACTTCCAGTATTATATTGAAAAGCAGTGGTGAGAGTGGACATCCTTGTCTTGTTCCAGATCTTAATGGAAATGCTTTCAGCTTTTCACCATTGAGAATGAAACTGGCTGTTGCTTGTCATAGATGGCCTTTATGATGTTGAGGTATGTTCCTTGTATCCCAAGAATTTCAAGGGCTTTTATCATGAATGTGTGTTGCACTTTGTCGAAAGCTTTCTCAGCATCTATTGATATTATCATATGGTTTTTATATTTCTTTTGATGTGTTGGATAATGTTGATTGATTTTCGGATGTTGAACCATCCTTCTGTCCCTGGAATGAATCCTACTTGGTCGTGGTGAATTATCTTATGGATACATTGTTGGATTCTGATAGCTAATATTTTATTGAGGATTTTGCATCAGTGTTCATTAGGAAGATTGGCCTGTAGTTTTCCTTTTTTGTGTTGTCCTTGTTCGTTTTGGTTTTCATGTAATGTTGGCTTCGTAGAACGTGTTTGGTATTGTCCCTTCCTTCTCAAATTTTTGGAAGAGTTGTGAAGGATAGGCACTAATTCGACTCTGAATGTTTGGTTGAATTCATTTGTAAATCCATCAGGTCCTGGGCTTTTGTTTTTGGGGAGTTTTTGATTACCATTTCAATTTCGCTAATTGTAATTGGTCTGTTTAGGTGTTCTATTTCTTCTTTATCTAGCTTTGTGATTGTAGAGTTGTAGAATTTGTCCATCTCCTCTAGATTGTTAAACTTGTTTCCATATAACTGTTCATAGTAGATTACTGATTATTCTTTTGATTTCTGCTGTGTCCGTTGTGATTTCTCCTCTTTCATTGATGATCCTGTTTATGTTGCTTTCCCTTTTTTCCTTTGTGAGCCTGGCTAGGGGTGTCTATTTTATATTTTCAAAGAACCAGGTCTTGGTTTCATTGATCTTTTGGATTGTTTTAGTTTCTATTTCATTTATTTCTGCTTTTGGCTTTTATTATTTCTTTTCTTCTACTGGTTTTGGGTTTTTTTGTTGTTCTTTTTCTAGATCTTTGAGCTTCGAGATTAGGTTGTTTTCTTTGAGTTCTTTCTTGTTTCTTGATGTGAGCTTCTATTGCTATATATTTTCCTCTTATTACTGCTTTTGCCTGCCATACATTTAGGATATTGGTGTCCTCCTTGTCGTTCAATTCAAAGAATTTTTAATTTCTTCTTTGATCTCCTCATTAGTCCAGTGGTCTTCCAGTAGTGTGTTTTAATCTCCATGAGGTAGGATAGTTCCTTGCCTTCTTTATGATTTATTTCTAGTTTGATGCCTTCATGGTCAGAAAAGATGGTTGATATGATTTCAATCTTGGTGTATCTGTTGATGTTTGTCTTGTGCCCCAGTATGTGATCGATCCTGGAGAGTGATCCGTGTGCGCTTGAGAAAAATGTGTACTCCGTTTTTTTGGGGTTTAGTGTTCTATAGATGTCTGTTAAGCCCAATTGCTCTAGGTCCTTATTTAGAGCTTTGGTTTCTTTACTTATTTTTTGTCTTGTTGATCTATCCATTGTTGATAGTGGTGTGTTGAAGTCTCCCACTACGTATGTGTTTTCTCTGATGTCTGTTTTCAGAGAGGACAACAGTTGTCTGATATATTTTGGTGCTCCTTCGTTTGGTGAGTATATGTTAATGAGTGTTATTTCTTCTTGAAGTATTGTCCCCTTGATCATAATGTAGTGACCATTGGGGTCTCTTTTTATCTTTTTGAGTTTGAAATCTGTTTTTCTGATATAAGTATAGCTGTTCCTGCTTTTCTTTTTGGTCCATTTGCTGTAGGATTGTTTTCCATCCTTAACTTTGAGCCTATTTTTATCTTTTGTAGCTAAATGTGTTTCCTGGAGACAGCAAAAGGTTGGGTTTTGTTCTTAATCCAGGCTGCCACTCTGTGTCTTTTTATTGAAGAGTTTAGTCCATTTACATTTAGAGTTAATATTGATATGTTAGCATCTGTATTTGCCATTGTGTTTGTCTTTCCTTTGATTTTATTTATTTATTCTTTTAATAACTTTTTTTTTTTGGCCTTCTTTCATTGTTATTCGTCCTCTGAGGTTCTGGCTTTAGGACTCCTTGTAGTTTTTGGAGTGGGGGTTTAGTTGTAATGAAATCTGGAGTTTCTGTTTGTCTGGGAAGGTCCATATTCTTTCTTCAAAGAGGAAGGAGAGCTTTGCGGGATAGAGTATTCTTGGTTGGCATCTGTTTTCTTGGAGTCTGTAGACTATGTCCTCCACTCTCTCCTTGCCGTAGTGTTTCTTCGGAGAAGTCTGATGTCAGCCTGATTGCTTTCCTTGAATGTTATCTGTTTCTTCCCTCTTGCCAGCTTCATTATTTTTTCCTGTCCTGATTCTTGGGAGCTTACTATTATGTCTTGCTGTATTTTTCCTTTCGTCGTGGAAGTTTGGTGTTCTTCTTGCTTCTTGTATATCAATTTCAGCTCCTTCTTCACATTTGGGAAGTTCTCTTCAATTATCTCTTTGAATATTTTCTCTGTTCCTACATCTCTCTCCTCTCCTTCTGGTATTCCTATAATCTTGTATTTCCTTTCCTCATGGAGTCAGATAGTTCCCGAAGTTCTTTCTTC